GACATGGTCCATCCCCAGCTCCTTGCATTGTTGACTTCTCAGTCATTCAACTCTCAGCTAAAATTTCCCTTTTTCCATACTCCTCCCTATCCCTCATATTATTTTCAGTCTGGAGGTAGCTGAGTGTTTTGTCTGTTTGACCCACTAGGCTGCCGGCACCGGAAGGGCAGGGATTTCTGTCCAAATCTCAGCTGTATCTCAGTTCCTAACAGAGACCCTGGCTCAGGAGAGATGTTTGCAAGATGTGTGTTAAATAAATTCATCCGTTGAGAGTTTCTTCTGTCAGCACCCGTCTCAGACAGATGTCTGAGGACTACCATGGCCTGTGTTTTAGTCTTTATGGCCCTTCTGAAATTATCAGTTACAATTGGTTGCTTGTCTTCCACAGTGAAGACAGACTGTGTTGTTCATCACAGCATCCCAATGCCTGGAGCATCAAAAACATTTGTTAAATTTACTTCGAAACTACAAATTTTTTAAGGCACAGGGAGGACAGATTAAAAAAAAAAAACACCCAGTATTGATAAATCGCTAAATATTTGTTAAACGAATAAATGTGAGAGACATGTGTACGAGGGGCTCTGAAATACCAAAGGAGAAGCTGCAAACAGCCTGGGAAGGTGGGAAAGGGGATTCGAGGGTAACTGTGCAGCAAAAGCCACGCCACAAACTTGGGGCGGGGCTGAGGTGGACCGGGAGGGAGTTTTGAAATGCCCATTGAGCGGGCGCTGGGCGAGCCGGACAGCTCTTGCCTCAGCCAACCCGCCCGACTCTGCTGCCCTCGAGGGGCATTTCCTGGCTCCCTCACCATGACCTCGGCGAAGATGTCCCCGGCGTACTCGCGTTCTCCATGCAGCCCCAGCGCGCTCAGCGCCTCCTCCAGCCCCCGCGGAGCGCACGGCCCCGGGGGCCTCTCCGGGCGTCCTGGGGAGGCGCTCTTGCTCACGGAGACGTCGTCGGGGACTGGGGCGCTCGCAGGCTCTGAGTCGAGGGAAGCTGTCGGACTGTGCTAGGGAGAGGGACCGGGGTCAGAGTCTGGAGGAACCGGCGCCGGGAGTGAGGCCCCGGCTCCTGCAGCTCACCGGCATCGTTCGGAAGGACGTCGGTAGCGAAACCGAGAGCCCACCTCTTCTTGGGGGAGCCAGGATTCGCGAACGGCGCTTTAAAGGAGCTTGGGCGCATGCGCGCAGAGCACGCCTCACCTGGGCAGGTGGGGCGGTGCGCCACTGCCGGATACTACGCGGGCCGGCTCTGCTCCGTCCAAACCTTCAGGGCAGGCAGCTGCAGTCAGGCCCTCGTCCTGCTACTTACTCCGGGACTAGAAGCAGCCCCTCGGAGCCTCACGTTCCTCAGCTACCAAGTTCCTCCGCTGTAACGTGGGGATTTCAAACCCAGCTGACAGACTCGTCCTTCGCATTTATAAGACTGCGCCTAAGTGCCCAGTACAGGGCTTAACAGTCTAAGCTCAAGTCCTAGGGGCTATAAGTCACTTCACAACTTAAAGGCCTCCGTGTTCTGTGCAGTGGGAATTCAGGGGTGAGCAAACCCCCTGTGACCAGTGCCTTTAGGCCCAGAGACGGGCCTGTCATGGGGACAAGTCACCGGCGGCTGGATCTGTCTGGAGTGCAGCAGCCTCCTCACGGGTCTCCCTGTTCCCATCCCCCTACAGCAGCGGCCCCCAACCTTTTTGGCCCCAGGGACCGGTTTTGTGGAAGACAGTTTTTCCACAGAGGGGGGAGAGGGACAGGAGGAGAGTCCAGGCGCTAATGTTAGCGAAGCTTCACTTGCTTACCCGCTGCTCACCCCCTGCTGTACAGCCCGATTCCTTAACAGGCCCCGGACCCACGGACTGACGGGACCGGTCTGCGGCCGGGGAGCTGGGGTCCCCTGCCTTACAGCCTGTTCCCCGCACACTGCCAGGAGGGATCCTGTGCGCCCCTAGTAAGACAGATCGCACTTGGCCTCTGCTCAGGCTCCATCGGGGCTCCCATCCCCCTCAAAGTGAAAGTCCACAAGGACTTACATTATCTTTCCACCCCCGACCCCCGCAAGTACCCCTACAGCTCATCTCCTCTCCCAACCTCCCCCGACCCTTCCTCTCCCACCACACGGGCCTCCCGGCTCATCCTCACACCCCGTCATGTTACTACCGCAGGGCCTTTGCACTGGCTGTTTCCACTGCCTGAAATGGTACCTCAGATGACCCTCAGTTCCTTTAAGGTGCTTACTCAGATATCACCCTCTCCTTGAAAAGCGTCGTCCCGAGCACTTCCTGTCCCCACTCTCGGCACTTACTCTCTCCGCAGCACTTAACTGCCTGATTTGCTGCACGCCCGCTGACTAGAGTGTGAACCCCATGAGGGCGGGGCTTGTCTGTCTTTCATGGTTGTATTCCCAGTGCTTAGAACAGGGTGGGCACATAGTACTCAGTAAGTATTTGAATGAAGGAGTGAAAAGGCTAGTCTTGTAATTTAGAGGTAGCGGTCTCCAAAGGACCTCTCTGAGGTGACACTGGAGCTGAAACCTGAAAGAGGAGAAGGAGCCAGGAAAGCAAATAACCCAAGTGGAGGGAACAGCCTGAATGAGCAAAGGCCTTGAGGTAGGAAAGAGCTCGCTGTTTTCAGGCATTAAGAGGTCAGTGAGGCTGGTGGAGTGAGCAGAGTACGAGATGCTGGGCCGATGGCTTCCTGCCATACTTACAGTGAAACCAGACTCCTTACCACAAGGTCCCCTTGGCCCACTGTTACCTCTCTAACCTCATTTCCTTCCTCTCTCCCCCACCCTCACTCGAGACACCTTGTCTTATCGTCCCTAAACATATTGGACACCTGTCTGGCTCAGGACCTTTGCATTTGCTGTCCCTTTTCATGAGCACTTGGTGAGAACCTGGCTATTTACATTCTCTAAGTATCTCTACTCAAGATACTAACTACAAAGAGAACATAGTCACTTTACAGTGGAGAAACCTGACAGGCACCACCTCAGCCAAGGGATGAGTCACGGTCGCTAAGGGGATGTTTGGAATCCTGCTGGTAAGTTGCACTAAGGGCACATCATTTCTGGGAATTCCTACCCAAAACAGCTTGAATATAGCCACAAGGGAACACTAGACAATCCCTAATTGAGAGACACTCTGCAAATAACTGTCCTGTAAGCTTCAAACCTGACAACCGAATTCAACAGTGTGAGCCTGGATTGAATTGCTGGCCAGGACATTTTTTCTTTTGTGCACAAGGACATTAGTGTGACCACTGTAGAATCGGCCTGAGAAGAGCAGTGTTTCAATGTTAACTTCCTGACCCTGATCGCTGGACTGTGGTTAAGTAAGATACTGTTCTCGTTATAGGACAGGTAGATACATATGGAGGGGGGAGGGAACAAAATAAATGTAAAACATTATGGGGAACCTGCCTGAAGGGGAGATGAGATTTATAATTTTTAAGTAAAAAATGTAGATTTATGAAGTGGCAGAGATAGTACAGAGTTCCCATGTACCACCCACCCAATGTCCCCTATTAACATCTTACACACTAGTGTGGTAAAATGTCACAATATAATGAACCAATAGAAATACATTATTCAAGTCCATGCTTTATTCAGATTTCCTGACATTTTACCTAATGTCGCTTCTTTAATCTAGGACCCCATTCACGGTACACTTAAGTCTTCTCATCTCCTAAGGCTTTCCTTGGCTGTTAAATGTTTCTCAGGCTTTTTTGTTTTGAACCACCTTGACAGCTTTGAGGATGAGCAGTCAGGTATTGTGCAGAACATCCTTCAGTTAGGATGTGCCTGATGTCTGTGTTCTTTGACCGGGGGACTCTGTTCTGGGGAGGAAGGCCACAGAGATCAAGTACCATTCTACACGCATCATACTGGACACAGACTGCCGATGCGACTCATCACTGCCGATCATGACCTTGATCGCCAGCTGGCTTTGCTCCTTGTATGTACTGTACTCTTTGGAAGTCCCTTTGCCGCCCACACCTAAGGAGTGGGGATATGCTCCCCCTCCTTGAAGATAAGAGGCCATCTACAGAAGTATCTGGACTTCTGTACAGATTGCTCTTTTGGCCATTTAGTGTCAGTATGGACTCATTTTATACTTTGGGTGTAACCAATACTACACAATTTTGGTGCTCAAATTGCATTCAGCTTTGGCTACCAGAAGTTCTTCCCATTGGCTCCTGTCTCCCTTTTCTTGCCATTGGTAAGGTTTTCTTTTCTAAGCAGGTCCTTACTTCCAGGGACAACCAGATGCTCCAGGCTCATCCTGTGTGTTTCCTGCTCCAGTTCATTTTAGCATTATTTTCAAAAGTTTCAAAGTTTTCTACCAGTCTGCAATTATTCCCAGTTGAAGTTAAAAATACGTGAATCACACTTTTTTGGAAAGCTAGCAAACACATATTAAAATGCAGCAACCCTGCAACGTAGGCCACAAAAATAAGTGCACAAGCTCAGTGAGGACAGACCGTGAAAGCTTTACTACAGGACTACTGCTAGCAGTGAAAAACAAGAACCTGGACACGGAGTGAATCCTTATCCACGGGGGCGCAGCTCAATCACGCGAGGCGCATCCACCCTGAGGAACCTTATGCGGCAGCTGGAAAGCATGGCGGCGATGCGCATGGGGAGTTCCCTGAGACGCACAAGTGGCTGAAAGAGGGTCTCATCTTTACCAGTGACCCAACACACCTTCTGAATGCACATGCGGGTGGTAGAAGTGTGAGTAAGATGTGGCAGGACAGCGCCCAGGCACCTGGCATGATGAAGTGGGAAGAAAGAGTTGTGCGGAAAAAGGAGGGACCAGCCTTTTCACGATACCACATCCATTTGCAGAGAGGTAACGTGATACCAAAATCAGCACCCAAGGCCTGGGATCTGGGTGATTTTTACTTTCTTCTGCATACTTTTGCTTGCATTACTCTTTACACACACACACCCACACCCACGTGACATTTCCCACATGCATGTGACAAAAAGATTAATCAAAATTTAATTTTTTGAACTGGTAAAATTTATTAAAACTCTTCCACCTAAAACTCCCTGTTTGGGAAAAGTTCTACAGAAATAAGAAGCACCACTGCATCTAAGGACATTCCATTCAACAGGGGGAAGCAGTTGATTAACCTGCAGGAGCCCATCCGAGGAATGTAAGACAAGGTCCCCAGGGGCAGACCCACACGGGAGAGGGGAGTGGCTGTGTGAAAAGAGACGCTCTCTAGCACCAGTCACCCCTAGAGGAGAGATAGAAGGCTTTTCTTTATAGTCCTCTCTGCTGTTTTTCTAATTACAACGAGGACCTACTTTTGTAATTTAAAAAATAATGTCCATATGAAGTTAGGAAAAAATCAAAAAAATTCCTTGAGTCTTGGCTGCAGGTAACACAGATTTTTATAAATTGGATTCAACTTTTCTGCTACCTTCACTTAAGATCTCAAAAACTCCATGCATGGAAAGCCTTAGCTTCTGGCAAAATCAGGTATGAAGTTCACCTGTGTGCAGCAGCCACCCTGGTCCCAAGGTCTGGGAGGAGTAATTCAAGCATGGGACCAGCCCGTCAGGGGACTCCCAGGGCTGTGAGGGCTGTGACGCAACCTGAGGTGTTCCCAGCTGACGGCCACCACAAATCCCAAAGACAGGCCAAGGAATCTGTATGGGAACGCGGGGAGGGGGGGCCCCCGGTTTAGCATAAACAGGTGTGGGGGATGAGCAGGCAATGCCTGCTCTAGGGCTCAAGCACCAGGGAACATGAAAGTGCTTGCCCTCACACCCCCGCCTTGTTCAGAGCCGCCCAACCCTGACCTTCAACCCCACCTCTTTCTACCTGAGCAGCTTCTGAGGGCCTGGGATGGTCTCTGTCCACTGGACTCCCACCCCAGGCCCGGGGAGTCTCCCAAACTCCTCAGCAACTTCCACCCCCAGCACTACCCGCCCCTGCCCTCCTCCCAGCCTGAGCTTGACAACACCTCCACCTGAGAAGCCTTCTCTTCCTCAACGACTTGAAAGGCCCTACCTAACAAAGCAATGGGACCAGGAGGCAGCTGGTACCTCTACCTGGGGCTGAATTCCACAAGCAAGGAAAGGCCCTGGGTGGTGGGCCCGGTCTGAAACAGAGTCTTTATTGCTTGTACCGTACAAATATGAGGAACGGGCAAGGGCCGGTGGGGAAGAGAACTGTCCGATAAATGACAGACACACACAAAAAGGAAAAGAGACCTCCCACCCTCCCCAAACCAACCCCACCCCACCCCACCCCACCCCAGATGTCTCTCTGTGAACTACCTACGGCGGTGGGGGTTGGGGGGCTGGCAATCAAAACCACAAAAACTACATTCCAAATACCCGGAGATGTTGGTGGGAAAGAGGGGAACAGGGCAGCAAGTGGACCACAGGTGTGGCTCCCTGCCTAGGCGAGCACCCCTCCTCCCCGCGATGAAAGGCTGGGGTCAGGGCCAGAGGCCCAAGCCCACACACACCACACACACTTGAGGCCTGGACACACTTGCCCTCACACACACATACCCAACACACCCACATACACACGCACCCTGGGTGCATCTATGTCTCAGATGCACCTGGACACCCACGCACAGTCCAAGGCACACATGCATGCGAGTGCCTCCAGCACTGACGCACGTTCACCTTAAGGCTGCAGAACATGGGGCTGGGGAGGGGGAAGGGTGAGGTGGCCTGAAGCCTCTCTTCTTAGAGGGCCCCACCCCAGTTCGTACCCGAGATGCCCATCCCTGCCCCCTCCTCAACCCAAGTCCACGGGGCCCAATACTGTCTCGGTGCAAGATGTGTAACAGCCGAGGCTGGTGCCCCTCGGCCCCAGGCAGAGAGAAGCGATCCCAGCCCCCATCCTGGAGGGACCGGGGCCAGGCTCAGGTCCAGTGGGTGGTAAGGCCAGCTGGAAGGAAGCCCTGGTAAGGCACGGGTCTGGGGGGGTGGGAGGCCAGCCCCTGAAATGTTCCTCCTGCCTTGTCCGTAGGGTCAGGAGAGCAGCATGGAGCACAAGGGAGGCAGCGCCCAACCCTTTGGCCCCTTCGGGTTCCCCACCAGCTAACTGACCCCAGCCTCACGGGGGAGCTCTAAACCTCTGCCCCCACAGCTCCCAAAGGCCCCAATGGCCCTGGACATTATTGCTTTTCTGCCCCTGTGTGAGGAGGGGGCTGGACTGTCCCCTTGCCAGGCCACTTGGAGCTTAATGACAGGTGTGGAAGGAGGCCCAGGTGCTGTCGACTCTCCAAGGGCGGGACAGTGCAGAGGCAGGCAGCTGTGGGCGCCTGGCTGGCAATTCAGGCAGGCTCCCGACTCCACCTGTGCTCCCCACTGGGGCTCGTGTTGATTAAAAACCAAAATCTTCCCAACTGCTCAAAGGCCCAGTCCTGGGGCAGGCTGGGGAGTTTCCCAGTCCTGATCTGGGCACAGAGGTGAGAGCAGGACAGGATTCTGGAGGCAGGGCCGCTGGGTCCGCTGAGGGGAGTTTGGCAGAGGACTGAAGAAAAAAACTGGAAATGGGGGTGCAGGGATGAGGGCTGGAGATGCAAACAAAAAAGGCAAAATAAAAAGTAAAAAAAAAAAAAAAGGAAAAAGTCCCCCCCAACCCCGGTGGTGGTGGCAACCATGAGTGTCCCGTGGTAGTGGCAGCGGGCAGGCGGGCATCACTGCTCACTCCCGGATGCTGGCCGAGTAGGAGAACTGGGGGAAGTGAGTCCGCTGGTCCAGGTCGAGCGAGGCCAAGCTGTCATCTGCAGGAGTCAGTGGGGGTGGATTGGGGAGAATGGGACTGCAGAGGGCCCAGGACCCTGCCCAGACTCCTGGGGTGGGGGTGGGGGTAGCACCAGCCCCAGGAAGGACCCCAGCTGGTGAGGTGTCCACTTTCCTGACATCCCCTTGAGGGGGTCACAGCCACACCCCGAGGCCAGAGCCCGTCCTGGGGCTCCAGAGCTGCTCCTTTAGCCATCTGAGCGTCCCACCAGCTCCCCTGCTCTCCTCCTCCTCCCTTCCCACATCTCAGTCCACCCTGAGGTCCACCCAGACCCCTCTGGCCCAGCTCCTGGCCTCCTGGCCACCCACTCCCGCCCCCAACAATCTTTCCTCCACATGCAGCCACAGGTCTTTCTAAAGACCCGATGCAACCCCGTCCCTCCTCTGCACAAAACCCTTCCCTAGTTCCCCATACAATTCCCCACTCTCCCCTCCTGCTCTGGCCCTCATGCCCTCTCCCCTCCCCACGCATTCTGGCCTCTGCAATGCTGCCCTCTCTAAGGCGTCCACATGCCATTCCTTCTGCCAGGACTGAGTCTCGGCTACCATGTCTCCAAGTCTCCCTCTCCAGGAAGCTCTCCCGGACCTGCAGGCCCAGTCAGGCATTCCCTCTGGGATCGCGCAGCGCCTGTCCTAGCCCTAGCCCCGACCACTCCGGGCTGTCTCCCCAGCTGGGCTGGGAGCTCTCGGAGGGCAGGGCCCAGGGCTGTCTCCATCACTGCTGTGTCTCGGGCAGAGAGCCCAGCACCGGGCGGTTGAGGATAAGAACTCAAACAGCTACAGAGTCAATGTAACTAATCCAGCTCCAAAGACCCAGGAGCTTGGGGAATGCAATTATGGATCTGCCATCTCAGCACTGACCACTCCCCAAATGTCTCCTGCCCAGACTTCTGCCTGGAACACTGGAATGTGCTAGACCCAGTGGCTTTTCTATCCAGTACATCACTGGGTCCACAGATGTCTAACAGCAAAAACCCTTCGAGCTTCCTCCTGGAGAACTGGGTCAGGAGCAGACCCCCTCCACCCCTGCCAGGCCCACGGGGTTCGGGGCCTCATACTCACAGCGGTCCGGGGGCGTGATTGTGATGGACTGGGCGGTGAACTCGTCGTCGAAGTACCTTGTGTCAACCTCAGATGTGACCTGAGGTTTGAAGGGTGGTGGGAGCTGTGGAAGAGAGGAACCCAGGCTCAGGCTCCTGAGAACAGGAGGCTTTGGCTAAGGTCACCCACAAAGGGCCAGGCTCCCGCCGGGAGCAGGTGGGTGGTGGCACTCACCTTCTTCTGTACCACGTCCTGCCAGTTGATGCTGAGGAAGAACCTGTGCTCCATGACCTCCTTGGCATCACTGGGCCCCCCACCGAGCCTGGAACGAGAAAGCCATGAGCACCCACCTCCCGGGGCAGCCCAGCTCAGGAGGCACTTCCAGCGCAGGCCTGGGCCCATGACATGCAGGTGGCCCTTTAAGAACCCTGTCCTGGCCACAGGCCAACACCTCAGAGGAAAGCGAGGCAGGGAGGGAGGGCCCCGGTCAGTTGGAGCTGGGAGACTGCAATCTGGCCCCCAGCCCACAGTGCGAATGGAGAGTGGGTGGCCACCTCACACCCTGGCTCTGCCACACATGGCTGTGCCACCCTAGGCCAAGACAGGACCTCCCTGTTCCTCAGTGTCTCTATTAAACAAGGTAGTATGGGCAGAGAACTAAGGACAGGCCTGGCCCCCAGGGGGTGCTCCCTGAGTGCCAGCTGTGGGGACTATTAGAGGCTGTGTGGGGACCGCACACTACTTCCACCGGCAAGTGTGCCTGTGGACACTGCTCCTCCGGGCCAAGGGGATGGTGGCAGCAAGTGGCACAGGGCAGGGCAGGGCAGGTGCCAGCCCTCACCTCTGCTTGGGGTCCTTCTTAAGCAGCCCAGCAAGCAGGGACTTGGCCTCAGGGCTGAGCGTGCGCGGGAAGCGGATCTCCTCCATGAGGATGAGCTCGAAGAGGCGCTCGTGGTCCTGGTTGTAGAAGGGCAGGCGGCCGCACATCATCTCGTACATGACCACGCCCAGCCCCCACCAGTCCACGGCCCGGCCGTAGTCGTTGTCCTCCAGCACCTGGCAGGGAGGGGTAATGAGGGGCCAGGCCCACAGGCTGGGGCCCAGAAGCTGACAGGCCCAGTGGGGACAAGGCCCTGCCTGGGGCCGGGGAGCACCGTCTAAGGAACTGCGGCCTGGCCCCCGGGGTCTGGCCTGGGGACACACCCAGTCCCAGGGCCCCGCCTCCCTCTGCATCGCAGCCCCAAACACCTCGGGCGCCAGATATTCAGGGGTCCCGCAGAAAGTTTTCATGGTAGCCCCATCACTGATGCCCTCTTTGCACAGGCCGAAGTCAGTGATCTTGATGTGGCCATCTTTGTCCAGCATGAGGTTTTCCAGCTGTAGGAAAGGTCAGTGTATCAGTGACATGCCCTCCCAGGGATCCCTGTCACCTTCCTGAAACCCCAGAGGGCCAGCCCTGTCCTGGAGGGGCCTGTGGCTTGGGATGGCAGCTGTCACCCCAGGGGCTCCAGGCTGAGCGATGAGGTACCCCAGCACATGCTGAAGCCTCACCCTCTGAGGCTCCACACCTCCCCAGTCCCTATCAACCCTGGGGAAGCTCGAAAAAAAGCAGAGGACAGACTGACCGTTGGAGCCTGATCCTGCCCCAACCTGCCTCCCACTGTGGGCTACAGTTCTCCCCTTTGGGCGCGAGGATATTTCTTGTATTTTTTCCCCTAAACTTCACACTAATGGGCCATTTAGTGAGCCTCTGTATAACCTCCCCCAGGTCAAGACAGAACATCTCCAGGCCCTTAGACCTCACCATGTGCCCTTTTCCTGTTAGTAACTACCCCTCTGCTCCAGACAAAGAAGTAACTTTACTTTCTTGCTCTTTTTTGCAGTTTCTCCTACCTACACATCTACCTGTAAACAACACAGGTTTGTCCTGCCTGTGGCTTTTTGCCTCAACATCAGTCTGTGAGATGCATCCACGCTGCTGCATGTGGCTGGTGTTTGTTCTCTTTCACTGCTGTGCAGAGTCCCAGGGTGTAAGCACACAATGTGGATTTTGTCTATTCTCTGACAGCAGATACTTGGGTTGCTCCCAGTCTGGGGTTAGTGTGAACAGTGCTGCTAGGAGTGTGTGTCCCCATTTTGAGGTGCACACAGGGACCTGTTCCTATGGTGCATGTATCTAGGGCACAACAGCTGGCTCGCTGTGTATGCACATGGCCAGTGTTGGTGGATTCTACAAACTGTCTTCTAAAGTGCCTATACCAATTTACATCCTCTAGCTGCCCAGGGGCACTTGCTCACAAGAGGCTCAGAAGGGACCTCATGTTGGGCTGCTTGCTGTGGAACCACCCCCTGGGTCTGCAGCAGGAGGGTCTGGGCCCCAGAGGGAGCTGGACACAGACACATGAACGAGAAGGGCCGTCCCTGGAGGGAGGAGCTCGGCTCCCTGGTGTGCATCCTGTGTATATGCCATGGGCCAGCCTGGGCCCTCACCAGGAGGCAAGCACACACTCACCTTGATGTCTCGGTATACCACGTCCCTCGAGTGTAGGTACTCCAGGGCTGAGACAATCTCTGCGCCATAAAAGCGGGCCCGCTCCTCCGTGAAGACACGCTCCCGGGACAGGTGGAAGAACAGCTGCCAGTGGAGGGAAGGAGGGAACATAAGACTCCTGGCTGAGAGGAGGGAAGATGGACCCTGCCTGGTGGCCCTGTGACAACATGATACCTACTCCATGATCCAGCAAGCGACAGCAAGAAGGAGCAACTGAGAAAAGAGTTCACGTGAAGGATGGACAGCAGGCACCAAGGGTAGAGTAGAAGAGGATGGCACGAAGGGGAGAGTGAATGAGGGAGTGACAGCAAGGAAGCAGAGAAACACAAGTCACGAGCAAGTGACAACAGCTGTGAGACCAAATGGGACAGATGAAGCCCACGATCATGAGCCAGCGAGTTACAGCTACGTGAGAGAGGACAAGGGATGCACAGTGGGTGACACCGAGTGGCTGGCTGCTCTGTGTCAGGAGGGTTCAGGGAAAGCAGAGGACTGGCAGCTCTTGACCTGCATACACTTTCTTTGCAGGTCACCCTTTGAGCATATCCTCTGCAGCACTGTCACCCAACCGCCCTCACAGCCCTCTCCGCACCTCGCCGGACCTCGGTTTGCGTCCCGCCCACCACTCACTAGCTATGTGAACCTAGGCAAGCCACTTAAGTTCTCTCAGCCCGTTTCCCCACCTGCAAAATGGAGAAGATGCCTGCCTCAGGGGGCGGGAGGATGGAACGAGCAGACCCCAGTAAGTCTCCCTCTGCCCTCTATCTCACTCCGCCCATACTCGGGAACGAGACACCCAGAAAGCCTGGTGGGAGACAGTGCGACTCACCTCGCCACCATTGGCGTACTCCATCACAAAGCACAGGCGGTCGTGGGTCTGGAAAGCATACTTCAGTGCCTGCGGGGAAGGAAGGTGGCTTGGGCACTGCTGACTCTGCCTAGACACTCCCCACCCTGGCCCAGCTGTGGGAATCCGGCAGCCAGGGTTCAAACCTCAGTTTCACCTTTTGGGGTATGTGAGTGGGTTCATGGCTCTGCGGATTGGGAGAGGGTTAGTGCGCTGAGCACTCTGTCTTCTACCTGCCACTAAGCTTCCAAGAAGCACAGCCAGGGGAGAGACTAAGTTCTGAGCAATCAGAGCCATTCTACATCTCTCTTCCTCTTCCTATTATACAGTCAAATTATTAAACTCTCTCACACATATATGCACACACTCACCCACACACACGTGTACACACATACACACGAGGTTTGCTGGCTGGGAGATGGAGATGACCCCAAAAACAGCTTGGACAGCGATCTGCCAAAAAGGAGTAGTTCTCAAACTGTGCTCTAAGGAGCCCTAGGGAGGGTTCCACAGAACCCTGCGTTGACCCCTCTGCACACAACTCCACTGTTCTCTGTCTTCTACACGGAAGTCCCTCATAAGATTTCATTTGAACAAGCGCTCTGGCTTTACAGAACACCTGGACAGCAGCTGAAGTAAAGAAACAACCCATGAGCCATCCTGAGCCTGGTCCATTTAACTGGTGGCTGTAGCCCAAAGAGGTGTCTGCTCAGTCTAAGTTGACAGGCAGCACAATGATCCATTCTGCTTCTGGGATTACATTTGAAAAATAAATACAAAAAAATAATGTTCCCACTTTGACTAACTGGCTTAAGTGTCTCAAAATCATAAAGACAGCAGTTATGCTCTCCTGGGCCATCCTGTAACGTAATTTCATTGGCCAGCTGAGGTGCTCACATGAAGCCACTGTCTATGAAGAAGCCATCACCCCTGGGGTTTTGGTTCAGGCTACCTGGGGAGCCCAGCAACACCTGGCACCAGCCATCTGGCCAACACTAAGTCTGTGCTTCATAATAGTAGGGTTGGGCTCGTTCCCTGAACTCTGGCCAAAGTAGCTGGCCTGGAGGCCCCCATGGCACACAGGCTGGGGGGATGCCACTCACAGTGAGGAACGGGTGCCTGGTGTTCTGGAGGACCCGGCTCTCGGTGACCGTGTGGGCAACTTCATCCTGCAAACAGAGGCCAGGGGAGGGACTAGTGGGTGACAGAACGCCTGCCCCCCACCTGAGAGATGGGACAGCTCTTGGTGAAATACAATTCCATTCCTAGCAGATATGCAGAGAGAGAGAATGACAGGATTGGCACATGACCATCCACAAACCCTAACAAAATAAGGGACCTAGGCAAGGACATTCAGTGGCTCGCTCTCAAAACCACCAGATGAGAAGTTGATGGGGCCTTCATGACGACAAGATCAGGCTGTTATCTCCCAAACCCACAGGCCAACTTTAACATCCCTAAGGGGGAACTAGCAGACATCATGAGGCTCCTGAGGTGACGCCACGGGCTGTGGAAATCACCACCCATAAATGTTCTTGCTGGAAGAAGAAACTGAACCTAGAGTCAGACCCCAGGATGTGGAGCAGCAGATCTGTGTTTGGTCTCCACATGGGCAGCACCAGTGTCAGCTGCAAACTTTGACAAAAGCAGATTCTTGGGCTTTTCTGCGGACCCACCAGACGTGAGCATGGGCCCAGCAGCGTTTTCACAGCCCTCCCGCTGACTCTAACACTGCTGGACTTTAATATCGGAGCACGATGCAGTCACCTGAGAGCTGCTGACAATCCTGAATCACCTGCAGACCCGGGCCCTGGCTCTCCCCCAGGGCAAGCCTATCCCCAGAAGGCATTTGGTAATAATATCTGAGGACATTTTTGACTGTCACAACTCAGGGGAGAAGGCAGGGGAAGCATAATACTACTTTAGAGGGTGAAGGCAGGAGGTTGCTCCACACCTTAGAGTGCGTAGCATGCCCCGACAGCAGAGAACAATCTGGCCCAAATGTCAACAGTGCTGAGGCTGAGAAACCCGGCCTTGGACCAATGACACTGGGACTGTGCATTTTATTGGCTATAATCACAATACCACAATTATAGTCTTTAAAATCTTCACCTGTTAAAGATACCTATCTAAGTACGTATGGATAAATTATATGCTATCTAAAATATGCTTTAAAATCCTCCAGAACAAAGGAGGAAAGCAGAGCTAATGAAACAAAACTGGCCAAATGTTGATAACTGTTGATGCTGGATGATGGCTAGCTATGCAGGAATCCATTATATTTATTTTTCTTTTAAAATTGTTGTATATGTTAGGAATTTTCTATTTTAAAAACTTTAAATAAATAAAAAAATAAGAATAGAATTCCATTCCTAGCCTAACCTCCTACTGAGACATCCGGAGCCACGCTCCCACCCTCATGGCCTATGGGGACACCTCCTTCGGGGCCCTGATCGTGCCTGTAGGTGAGGCCCAGATGGACCCTCTCACCTCCCTCCCCAGGCACTCGCAGAGGCTCTGAGGACTTACAGGGCTGAGCACAGGTCTATGGGTTTGGTAGGGAAATGAGATGTTGGCAGTGGAAGGCACGATTAAGTGTCCCGGCCCCATGTGTGTCCCCCAACCTCCGAGAGGCCAGCCAACAGCAGCCTGGGGAGAACCCACCTTGGCGATGATAACCTCCTTCCGCAGGATCTTCATGGCGTAGTAACGGCCGGTGGCCTTCTCCCGCACCAGGATGACTTTGCCGAAGGTGCCCTTGCCGAGGAGCTTGAGATAGTCAAAGTCATTCATGGTCTGCCAGGGTTGAGGAGAGAACAAGGCCATCAGCACAACTTGGCTCATGGCCCACGGGAGAAAATTATCACAAAGGAAAAGGAAAATCGAAGGACACTGTTGCCAAAATGCTCCAGTATGAGCAGGAAGAGAGGCTCTGGGCAGCAACTGCTGCTTCTGAAGTGGCCTTCAGACCAAGGTTCTCCCAAACATGAGGCCCTGGGAGGGCTCCATTGTGGGGGGTGGGCAGATGTTGACGACCGCTCAGGAGGAGGTGGGCAAAGAGCAGCCCTGGGGCACCCACACCGTGAGATCACCCATGCTACAGGCAGTCCCGGCGGGGCTCTCCATGGAAGCCAAGGGCAGCAGGGCCAACGCCGTGGGGGAGCGGTGCTCACAGACTGGCGGTGCTGCCTCCCACCCCGAGAGCACTTACCACCTTGGCGCGCGCCTTGCTAACTGCCACTTCCATCTCCTCAGCCGCGGAAGAGTCACTAGGAGAGCCACACTTGTAGTCCATGGGGTCCTCACCCGGGCTCCGCTGCTTGAGGCTGTTGGCGACCATCTGGATGGCCTGTATCCACTCTTCCCTGTGTGAGGACAGGTCAGGGGAGCCATGAGACCTGGGCAGGAAGGGCTGAGCCCCAACCCCCTAAACACCTTTGAGTGTTTTGGCAAGATCTCTCTGAGCTGGGGAGAGCTGACGGGACGAAACTGAAATTTTACAGGTGCCCAGGGTGGGAGGGGGCAAGAGTGGATTAAGGACAGAGCCATCTATGGCCTGGGAGCGGCCACTTGAAGTCAGGCAGCAATTAAATGATCAAAGAGGGGCGACCACCTTTCTTCTCAGCCCCTTGAAAATGAGCTGCCACCCTGAGCCTTGAATGAGAGAGACACAATGCTCCTCTGAATTCCTCCAGAACAAATGCAAGCTCAAGTGTCCAAACGACCCGATGTCCTGCTAAAGAATACCAACAGTAAAAGGAAGCATTCATTAGCCAGAGTAGCTGAAGATCTTAAAAGGCAAGAGCCACAGACATGACTCCCTAGAGGGGGCTCTCCGCTGGAAGGATGGGTCAGGGACAGAGGTTCCCAGTGGGGAAGGGATGTGGAGGGGAAGGTGGCAGACAGGGAAGCAGGTCCCAAGAAAGAAAGTCTGATTTAAGAACCATAAGCCAGTCTATCACTCATGATTTAAAATTTGCCGGAGAAGAATTTGCTTCTTATACTTGCAAACTGTTCTGTCTGGGGAGAGAGAAAAATAAGTAAAAGTGACCAGAGACCAAGAAGAAAAAAACATGAGGCTGGATGATACGAATTGTCCATACCCCCCATTTTTGGCCCACCACCTAATTTTTTAAGTGGTCTAATGCAGTACCTGTTGAACCTCCTATGGATTTTGCCTATGTCTATAAAACAGCCACATGAACAGTGGGAAAAAAGAAGACATTTGCTAGGAATAAGAAAATTCAGAGAGTGCAAGCAGGCAACCTCCAAAATCACAGTGTTAAATAAGCCCCAATGAGTACAGCATCTTCCAGAATCCCCCTCCAGCCCCAGGCAGCAGGTGTTAACTGTTCTGTACTCCTGAGGCCGCTACCCAAGGTCACATAGGCAGCAAGTGGCTAGGCTGAGATTCCAAGGCAGAGCCTGGGCCACCCTTCTGTGCCACACGCCTTGAGTCTCCATTTCCACGTACACCAAACAGCACTACAGTTGACCCTGGACCAAGGCAGGGGTAAGGGGTGCCAATCCCCTGCATAGTTGAAAATCCACATGTTAACTTTTAACTCCCCCAAAACTTAACTACTCATAAACTATCACTGACTAGAGGCCTTACTGATAACATAGTGAATTAAATCCTATTGTTTGCTATATGTTTTATATACTATATTCTTATAATAAAGTAAACCAGAGAAAAGGTTATTAAGAAAATCGTAAGAGCAAACGCATTTACAGTATTTATTGGAAAAAAACCATGTATATGTGGACCCATGCAATTCCAACCTACGTTGTTCAAGAGTCAACCATACTTCTAAAATCCATCCATCTTATGACACATGTCCTTATTTAATTGGGCATTGCTTTTTCGTAATGTTGTATAAAATAATGGTGTGTCTTCATGTGATGGCATCTTAAATTCGAGGAAACATGGCAACAGTACTGAGCTCACGGGGCGCTATGCGATTGCGAGGGCGCTGTGCATCTCAGAGAGAATGAGGCAGATATATTTGTAGACTTGGAATGACCTGAGACAGGTTAAGTGAAATACGGAAGGTGCAGAACAGAGCACAGTATCACACTATGAGAGTTAGAAACAAAAGGAATTTATGTACACACTCTCACAGAAGCACAAACATCTCTGAAAATGATGGTCCAGGGAGAGAAGTGGTGCTCAGGGGCAAAGGACAGTTTAATTCCACTGTCCTCAAACAATAAACACACAGAGATCACTCACCCCTCCTCCTGCATTACAGATGGGGAGTGCACCAAGGCCCGGTGCACACCCAGGCAAAGCACACTGAGCCCAGTGCACATCCAGAGGGAGCATGCCGAGGCCTGGTGCACACCTATGCAGAACAGCACTGGCTGCTTCTCTCTCTGACCCAAGGCCTCAGGCAGGCATTTCCCAACTAGTTTTACCCTGTGCCCTCTTTGGAACCAATCACAATATAAATCCATGTTAATATTCCTGTATTTCTAAAAAAGGGGGTGGGGGCACATTTGATTTACTCTATCAGATTATAATTGTCCTCTTAGAAATTTCAAAATGCTGACTTTGGGTGTGAGACCATGGATTAAAAAACATCGCCAATCTCCTAAGAGATATGCTCATATATTAAAAAGAAAAATATGTATATATCTAACACAGAGACTGTCACGTGAAAAGCAACAAGTTGCAGACTAAGATGCCTAGCATGCGCTTGTCGTTGTCCACAAGGGAGAACACAAAGAGCCCGTCAATGGTAGCCTGAATAAATCAGTGACGGTGCACAGGGCCTCTGGAAGCAGCTCTGAGGGGTTCCTCTGGAGCAACCTCTCTGGGATGCAGAGTGTCTGACCAGGAGCATGGGCTCTGGGACCATGCCAGCTGGAGCTCGAATGGCACCTCTGCCACCTGGGCAAGCTCACCCCTCTCAGTCGGCCACCGTCGGTGACAGGCTGGGGACACTGTGACACTGGTAAGCTGATGTGTGCAAAGCACTGCATACATAGAAAGTGCTCAACTCAAGGAAGATGTTAACGATGGGGCCTGGGCTTATCCCATCCACCTTGACTCAGGTTCCCAGTCCCACAGGGGTCTGCAGAATTCACAGGGGATGCAGGAGGTTGGATGCGAGTAACTGGAGCTCTCCCAATGCCTGACAACCCTGTTCCAACTGGACTGAAGTTGCAAGGTTGCAGCACTCAGAATTCAGAGAAAAAGCAAGGGCCTCGGTCCAGGATACTCCCTAAGGGTTTGCAACACGGTGTCTGGGGCAGAGGGGAGCTCCCACCCAGAGCTGGGGCCAGCTTGCCTTCCAGGCCTCAAAGGGGAGCCCCCTGGGGAACAAACCTCCTTCTCCTCAAGAGACACAACAAAACAGTAAGAGCTCCACAGACAACACCTTGTTCCATCTCCTTAAGAGTACTAGAGGAGGATTGGGCATGTTTTTGATGTGGAAACTGAGGTGCACAGTCACCTGTGGAGGCCACACAGCCAGGCCGTGGTGGAGCCACCTAGCTCCTAACACCCCACTACTACTCTCTAATGAAAGTTACAGCTTCCTTCCCAGATGAGGCCCAGAGGGATGAGGCAGGGGGCTCTCCTGAGGGCTCAGGGCAAAAGGAAACACCAGGCCACAGCCCAGGAGCTGGGCAAAGGAAAGCTGTTCCTTGGGGGTTGGCCTCTTCGAGAGGGACTCCCCCACTGAACAGCAACACAAACACCCATCACTTGCACAGGGGCACTCTATTTCTTTAAACCATGGTCTTACACCCAAAGTTAGCATTTTAAAATTTCTAAGAGGAGGTAGCCCCATGAGTCCTCCTGATAACCCTATGAAGTAGGTAGTTATTTACCTCCTTTGATAAACAAGGAAACTGAGACAGAGAGGCTGACATGTGCCCAGTTACATGGCCAGCAAGCAGAGGCCAGGGGCCCAGCTGCCCTTACTGCCCCCAAAGCACTTCTCCCCTCAGGGGAACTTCCAGGAGCCTTCTTATACTTCATTTGGGCTCCGAGGCCAGGAAGGCACATTTGATGGAGCCGTGCTCCCCCATGCAGCACCAGGCCGTGCTCCCCCATGCAGCACCGGGCCGTGCTGCCCCATGCAGCACCAGGCCGAGAGCGACACAGGCTCGGGAGCCAGGAGCTGGGGTCTGGAGCTCAGCTCTGCTAACCGGCTATGAGGGGCCCCCGAGTGGCCTCACTTCTCTAGCCTCTATCTGTCTCCCACATACATGGCACTGTCCAGCGGCTGAGCGCACAGGCTCTGGCTGGATGGCCTGTCCCTCCTGAAGGTAACATTGGACAGGTGATTTACCTTTCCTGTGTCTCAGCTGGCTGCCATGTAGAGCAGGGACCAGAGGGTAGTGTAAGGGTGAAACGCAACACCAGACATAAAGCACTTGGGGCAGTTCCTGGCGCAGAGTAAGTACCTCAAGGGGTGGCTGGGAGAATTCGCCCCGCCAGCCAGCCACCCCTTGCCATCTTCCTGAGTGCTTCCTGAATGCCATCTGTGTACCCGCCTGGTTCTGGGTGCTCAGAGGCTGTGGAGGAAACCAGCCCCACAGAGCTCCTAGCCTAACAGAGAAGGTAAGTGTATAAAGTTTCCAAGGCAGGGACTGGAGCAGGAAGCCCCTTCTCAGAGGGTGGTCTGGGAAGGCCTCTCCAAGGATGTGTCACGTAATTCAGGACTTGACCAATGCCCCTGGGACACAAACTATCCCCCGCGCCCAGAACAGGCACTTGGCACACAGCTGTGAAATGAAATGGAGGGAAGGGGACAGCCATACAAAGTGCTAGGAGGGAAAGGCACCTGCTGGGTGAAGAGCATGGCAAAAGCCCCGAGCAGGGGGAGCCTGGGTGTTTTCAGAAGGCCCAGCAGGTGTGCTGGAGCTGAATCCCACAGAGGGGGGCACGGAGAAGATGAGGGTAGGAGGGGGACAGGTCCAGACCACAGGGGACTACATGTCCCCCCGTCTTAGGAGTTTATATCTTTACATGGGAAGTCACTGAAGGCTTTACCTAAGGGTGACGGGATTAATTTCTGTTTTAAGTCAGCAGCTGCTGTGTGGGGCACAGATTGGGGGCAGCGAGAGGAAGCATGGAGAGACTACAGCAGTCCTCTGGGCAGAAGACGCTGGTGGCAGAGGAGATGGAGGAGAGAAAAGGTACCAACAAGCAGGATTCCATGGGGCGCCTGGGCAGTGCTTTCACACTTACTTCCCCTTTTGTTCTGCATGACAGTCAGGGAACTGAGCCCCACTGAGAAAGTGGCACAGCGCCAGCCTGACTCCCGATCCCGGGCCCCAGCCCTGAGACACCCTGCTGAGCAGGACTAAATACATCCCTGAGGGAAGCCAGGGTAAACCAGAGGTGGCAGGG